TTAAAAGGCTCTGTGGAAGCCTCAAGTCAGTTCAGCTGGCCCTGATTGATATGCCTCTCTCTGATATGCGACTATTCTCATCACTAGTCAACTATCCAATAAGCTTATGCTTAATGGATAGTCTACTAGTTGCTTACATCCCTTGTGGGTGGCATATGTGGCACATACTATGTTATGTGGGTCTCATCTAGTACCACCTGTATGGCCTTCAGGATGTCACGTGGGCTATAGCCAAAGGCCTGCAAGCTGAAAACCACAGGCTTGAATGATTACATTTCTCATAAGAATCAAAGCCCTACAAGTAATTGATGCAGATCATCCAAAATAAATACCAATACAAACTTTACACTGTGTTAGTGTGAATGGTACGGTGCATAGTGTTGCCAACTGTCTAATCACACAAACCCAAACACACTTGCCCTACTCCTACCCAAGACCTGGCCCCATTCCTTCCATCCCCTCCCTCACTCCATCACTCACTGTCCCCACTCTGTCACTCACTTTCACCAGGTTGGGGTAGGGGGTTGGAGTGTGGGGGAAGTTGTGGGCTCTGGGCTGCGGTCGTGGAATTTGGAGTGTGGAAGGACTGGAGGCTGTACCTCTCACCCCCTGAACCTGAGGCAGAGGGGTGTAAGCTCTGGAAGGGAGTTTGGGTGTTGGGTGGGGCAGTGGGGTCGGGATGCAGGAGGGGGTGAGACGTATGGGCTCCAGTTGGGCGATGTTTATTATCTTGAAGTTCCCAGTTGCCAGTGTAATAGGGCTAAGGCAAGATCCCTGCCCCAAGCTCTGTGTCGCTCCAGGAAGCAGCTGGTAATTTCTCACCAGAGTCACTGCAGAAATTTTTGAAGTGGCCCTGGGCTGTTCCAGGAGGGGCGAGGCCTCTGGTGGAAGGGGTGGGGCCAGTGCACTTCACGTGCTCTCCCCCACCCACAGACCAATCAGGGTCTGCGGGCGGAGAGCACGGAAGTCTTTGACCCTGCCATCCCTCTGAGAGAACTGCTAGCTGTTCTGAACAGCTGGCAGTTCCCTCTAGGCACCCACACTCCTTGCAGGGCGGGAGAAGTCGTGGCACACTCCCCCCTGCCCCAGGACAATCCGGGCTCGGGTGGGAGGGGAGCATACAGTCTCCTTCCACCCCAGGCCCTGATTGGCCTGGCGGTAGGGGAATGGCAGTACCTCCTCGGGGCCAGATCAACCACTTGACAGGCTGGATCTGGCTCATGGAGGCCCTTTTGTCCACCTCTGATCTAGACAGTGCTTGGTCCTGCCGTGACTGGACTTGATGACCTCTCGAGGTCCCTTCCAGTTCTAGTATTTTATGACTCTCAGCAATACAAAAAAAATTGTAACCCTAACAGTGTATGATTTTAAAATATTATTTGCAATATTGTGTAGTTGGAATGAAACATCAAGATCTATTCATCCAACACACAATAAGCAGAGGGAAGTGCTAGGTGGATTTTTTTTATATATTATCTTGACGTAGCAGGAGAGCAAATCTTAAATAGACTTAAAAATGGACCCAAAACTTCCAGTGATGAGCCCACTGATTCCATGAAAAATTGTCCCACTAAAAAATTTTTTTTTAAACGTATAAATTGATATAAGGAATTCAGATGTCTTTCAGCAACTTTTCTAAACGCTTTTTCTTTTTACCACTAGATGGCAATGTATTGGAAAGGATTTGTCTGCCTTTCTTGAACTGTTTTCCTCTTAAAATTAGTCCAAAAATTAAACTGATATATGTAACTTCTGATAAGTAATATTGTTACGTCTATCCAGATCTCCAGATCCATGTTAGAGTTCAACAAGGTTAAAAAGTTTGGCCACAAAGCTATTTTAGTTAACCATAAAACTCTAATGCTTACATTGTCTTCAAGTATTACACTTATGTTAAAACATACCACGAGACACTAAATACACAATCATCTCAAGAGATCCATTTACAAATTAGTTGTCCCCTCTGACATGAAGAAAGCATGGATTCTTTTTGTAGTACACCAGGCACTCTGTGTCCCTATACTGTACTAAACCCTGGCACTGCTTAGACAGGAGAATTCAGTGACAATGCTCTTGGACTTCACCTTCCCCCAGCAGCAGTGCTGAGGGGAACCTCAGAGATATTTCTGTATTGACACCCTCTTCCCCAAACAAGGATATCCATCTACAAGAAACCAGAGAGAAACTGTTCGGAAGGTGATGTGGCAGAAGTGGAGCTGGTAAGCAATTATAAAATTGCATTAACACTATGTGAGACGAGGTCAGCAGCAAGGAGAAGTTTTGTATTCTACACTGTAAGGCTTTCCCATGTAAATGAACTGACCTAACTTGTAGTGGAGCTGTGGGAAGAACAAACGAGGGAAGCAAAACAATGCCTTCACAGATCAGAACACCTAGGCACACACTAGAAAGACAATGGGGCACAGCTGTTAACTTCATAAATGCAGTATCTTGTCTCCAACTACAGTAAACTTCCAATAATTCGGCACCTTTAGGACCCAGGAGGTGCCAGATTATCAGATTTGCCGGACTATCAGAAGGGGGGGCTATGAGGGGTCTGGGGTGGCATCCCCCCCCACCCCAGACCCCTCATAGCCCCCCCTTCTGATAGTCCGGCAAATCTGATAATCTGGCACCTCCTGGGTCCTAAAGGTGCCGAATTATTGGAAGTTTACTGTACAAATCAAACTACTTTATACTTTTTCAGATACAATAGAAACGCCTTATAAATGTTCTCATCTTTTTGAACTCCAGCAAAGCAGGTCTATGCTTGTTTCTGAGGCAATTTGTGCTCCTTGTGACTGCAGAATCTCCCCGTATACTGCAGCTAGAGTTCCATGTCTTTATTTCTACTATTTCTCAGATATATTGAATCGTTTGTGTTAAGGTTATATTAGTGAGGTAGTGGAAGTGGCTCATGGGAGCATCTTGTTGAGATTCTTTCAGCAGTTTGACAAGGAAGCAGGGGTGATTTTTCCTTCTTCTGATGGAATTTACCATTTCCCTTAATATTCTTAGTCATGCCCAGGGTTTTCCAAAAAGTAGAGGGTTTTTTGCCTTTGCATCAAATATCCAGTTTTAAAAAACTGAAAGAATTCCTCAAAGGAACTCTCCACAAGCCTCCTTAAAAAGGACTACCCAAATCCTACCTTCCATCAAATGGCATTGGCTGAACAGTGCATGACTCAGTACTGTTTTTGGGAAGCAGTGTGAGTGTTCCCAGCATGTGCACTTTGCCAGTGGTGGTGTTTCCAACAGACAAATGGATAAATAAGTGAATAGATTCCTCATCTCGGAGCACAGGCACACCTGAGTAACAGGATTTGCCACAAGGAGGGAAGATTTTTATGAGCCATTGTTAAAACACTGCCATTCTATCACAAGGCTGCACAGACAAGCTTTTGTCCTATCTGAAATAACATGTGGGTGTGGCATTAACATGCCTCCATCTGTAGCTTAGGCACGTCTTACTTTCAAATTATGTGACCGTAGTTTTGCAATCCAAACACATGATAACAGTTTTGGCCACCTGCTGAGCTGCCTATGGTACCTAGGGTTAGCTATGCAGCACCCTGTTTTTGTTTGTCCTCTTGGGGTAACTTGGCTAGAGGCTTCCTCCTGGCCAACAATACCCTTCCTGGGGATCTGGATTTATTAACAAAAATCATTCAAATCATCCTCAAAATCCCATCAAAACAGCACCTCTTCCATTCTGCCAGTCTGAGGGCTCTTCTTCAGTCCCAGCCTGCTTTTCAGTCACACAGCTATTCCAGTCTCTTCTACCTGAAGTCCTTCCCTGCTCTTCCTAGCACATTGTCACCTGTCTTGCTTCCTGGAGTTTTCATCTTCAAGAATGGGCCCATCTTCCCAATGATGCCTACACTCCATTTTTGAGATGTCAGCAGTCAAACCCCTCTACTCTTCCAGTCCACAATCTTTTTCAGTTCATTGACTTTGGTTTTCAGGACCCAAGCACTTTTCCTGGTCAGGGTCTCCCACAGGAACCTCCTGCTTACAACTTTTCTCTCTAGCTTCCTGCGGCTCATGTAGATGACACCTGTCATCCTTTATGCCCCATAAGAGCTGTTAACGTTGTACAGGTGGTCTGGAGCAGTACCCTCTGAAAGGGCACAGTCTACTCGGAAACTTGCATCATTCAGGCTTTTTTGTATTTGCACACACTGTTCTGTTAGGTGTCAATAAATATTCTATTCATATGGCCAGTTATTTTGAGTAAAAATTACAGCTGCTATTCAGTTTCCCTTTCAGTTGGGTACCTTTGTCCAGGCCACACTTATAGTTCTAATCCATGCCTAAATCTGCTGTGGAGAAATCAGTAAGTTGTAGATTGGTTATAGACAACATTAAACACCGGCGAGGCAGTAATGAAAGTTAAAAGAATAATAATCTTGTTTAACAGACATTGTGTGGCTGCACAATCTGCATTTAGTATGTATTGCTTTGTTTGTATTACACACCCATAGTTCTAGACAAGGATCCCACGCTGTTAAGTCCTGACACCAAATACTGTACAATATGGCCAAGAACAATTTTTTACTTTTTGTCCCCTACAGAAATGAGGTTGAAAAAAATCACAGAAATGGTTTACTTAAATTATATATTAAAGTGACTGATGTGACAAACCTTTAATGAGTTGTAAGATGTATATGTTTATATATTATGGCTCCAGTTCAAGGCAGATGGCAAACTTAAGCATATGGGTTGTTTCCTGAAGTCACATTTAGACATGTGCTTAAATATCTTGCTGAACTGAGCTTTCAGCTCACTGAAATCAAAGGGAATCATTCCATTGACTTTGATGGATCATGTCCTAATTTTATTTGGTTAGCTTTTTACAAATTGTTTTAAGATACTTTATTTCTACAAATCAAATTGAAGTGTTTCCCCAAAGGAAAGCAGAGTTCTTAGTGGTGAACAGTAATAGAAAGTAAATTTCTAAATCAACAGAAAAAATTGACTGGCATTTTGTTTTCTTTTAGCAAACTTCAGAAGAAAAAACAAAATGTAACTGGACTACAGGGGGTGACAGGAGAATGGTTTGAAGAAATACAGAGAAAAAAATTTCGGAATGACATTGACGTCAACAGACTGTTAAAACGGCCACTAGCACATTGGCTACGAAAGACATCAAGAAACGGTGAGTCATAGCAAGTTTTTCAAAACCCTTTCTTCTGTGGTGATCACCAAAACCATGCAGCAAGGCATCTCAAAGTTCATTAACAGAAAAGTTTCTGAAATTGTTTGACCTCTTCTCCCATCAGAGCTCTGCAGGTTACACAGACGTCTGTCATGGATGGTCTAGCTAATACTTAACCCTGCCATGAGTGCAGGGGACTAAACTAGATGAACTCTCAAGGTCCCTTCCAGTCCTATGACTTTGTGCAAATAACACATTTTTGAAGAGAATTGTATTCCTTTGTTGCAAGTTGTGTTAAAAGTACAACTGTGCAACAGATTATGAAGTTCTTGATATTTCCTACCCTAAAGCAGGGGTCGGGAACCTCCGGCCCGGGGTCTGCATCTGGTCCCCAGCTTGCCACGATCCGGCCCCTGAGGCTCAGGGCTTCTCCCCTCCCCCCCAGCATGGGGAAGCCTGTGCTGGCACTTCAGCCCCCCTGCCACCTCATCCCGGGGCTGGAGCACACAAAATCTACTAGCCTGGGATTCCCTAGTCTCTGGTGTGTGAGGGGAAAGCGGGGACTGTCTTTTTCCTTCTCAGTCAGGGGTCATGTCAGTAAATGTTTGGTTTTTTTTGCTTTCACTTGTATGTGGTCCCTGACCCATTTTTCTGTGGGTCAGTGGCCCCCAACCCAAAAAAGGTTCCCCACTCCTGCACTAAAGTTATAATAATTGAAAAGCTTATAAACAAATAGCTATTATATCTATTACCTGATAAAGAATGAGTATTAGCTTCATATAGACTGCATTAGTTCCACAGAAATAAATATCAACAGTAAACATAGTGATCACAGTCAACCTTACTTTTTCTGAAACAGATGAGGGAAATGGATGTAACATTAGATAAGTGAGGGTCAGAGAAGGAGCATTGATGTCGGGGGACAATTTTGGATAATCAAGATTTGGATGAAAGAGTTTTGAATGTATTTGAATAAAAGCTTGACTGATTTACACAGGATTAAGATGAGTGCACATGTCAGATTACCACGGTGGCAGAGAGACTTCCCAGAGGCATCTTCCGTGCATGCTGTTGCCCATCAGATTTCAACACGCTCAATGTGCCTATCAAATTTGCCGTTCTGTAGTGTCTCTCCCATTCTCCCTCCATGTGGTTCTCATGAATATATCTTTATTTTCCATTCACATTTCTATCTGGTATAATTTTTTTTTCATGTGCCATCCCTTGCCACAAATATACATCATCACACTCTGCTCACAACAGCTGGAGCCAGCATTTTGGGAAATAGAAGTACATTTCCACAGAGAGGCCATTTACCAAAAATGTCACCAAAAGGCCACAAAGAGGCGTATGTAACACTTCAGATGTCATGGTTATGGTCATCAAAAGGAGTCAACTTTCTGTACCATTAAGTCTGCCTATCAGTGAGGTACAAGTTATATACATTACAGCCAAAAATGAAACCCTATGACAGGCACTTTTCATTTAATTGAGAGACCAGCTCCAGAATTAGGGGTGCCCGCCACAGACAGGAAGCTGCTCCAGCCTGGCAGGGCCCACAATGGGCAGAGGTTGCCGCAGCTAGCTGGATCCGTCTTTGTCCACAGAGTGGGGTGGCTTCATATAGACTGCAACGGGCAAGGGAGAGACCACTCCAACCCACTGGGAATGGAGCAGCCCCCCTCCTTATACGATCTTTAATCAGCTAAACATAATGTTTAACCATTTTACCAATTAAACAGGATTTTACATCTCTACCCAGAATATTGCTATTGCCTTGCACAGTTTTGTATCAGCTGATTGTATTTAGCTATGTATCCATTTCTAGAATGCATTTTCCTGACACCAGTACACACACACTCATTTCAGTGCTGCTGTTTTCTCTCACATGTGATGATCTAATATTGAGGAGAGAGTATTTTCAATTTTTCAATGGTATCTTGTTATCTAACTGTTGGTTTGCTTCCCTGGTTCCATTTGGCACCTCTTACCAGCATGGTGTTTATAGTATGCATTACTATGGAATCTGAGTGCCTCACACATTTGAAAATTCAACCTGTTATGGATCTCTGGTGAAAATGTTCAGAAATGACTAGTAATTTCAGGTGTTCACCTGAAGACACCTTCACCTGGTCTTGACTTTCACAGGGTGGGTGCTCAACAATGTCTGACAGTCAGGCTCATTTACTTATGTTGGGCACCCAAGCATGGATGCATCCAAAATCATTGGTTCCTTTTGAAAATGTGTCCGTATTTCCTCCACCCGCCATTCTCCAGTTAGAAACCAAAAGCCAACATGTCACTTTGCTCTGTCAAAAGAAATCAGTGGTAGTCTGAAAACGTAAATTGGAAACTGGAAATTTATATTGCATAAACATTATGTGGGAAATACAACTTTATGTGGGAAAAATTTGCTGTGTCAATAAAGAATCACACAAAAAAAATGTTTGCTTAATTTAAAGGACATCTTTAATTACAGCTTATTGCCTGCCTTTATCAGACAAGCAAAGATGTAGCTTTTTTTTTTGTATATTTTAGAAATTTAGATTTAATAAGAACTGGAAGCTAATCAAATAATCGCAACATTTTAATATTTTTAGATCCTAACGAGTTTAAAATGTCATCTCTCCCAAATCCACAAGCACAAAAGAATGTCTCATCTTCCATTCTTGGATTCAGAAGTCCTTTTGCTTCACTCTTCTCCTTCAAAAAATCAAGGAAGCACAATTTAAAGCATCAAACTCAGCAGCAGCCCCGGTGAGCTATACATACTATGTGTTCATTTTACTTCTTAGTGTAGTTAAAAAGAATTGTTTCCTGCCTCACTTGTAACTGTGTGTCCATTTAAATTAGATGATTCTCTAGCCTACTGGGACATATAAAAAGCATTAGGAACATGATTTTATATGGTTATGTAATGCACAGTTGTCAGTTAAATGTCAGAAAGAATAAAGATTAAGCAGAAAGTAAGGGTCAAAGTCCCATCCTTTTATAAGTGATAGAAATGTAGCCGTGTTAGTCTGGTGTAGCTGAAACAAAATACAGGACTATGTAGCACTTTAAAGACTAACAAGATGGTTTATTAGATGATGAGCTTTCGTGGGCCAGACCCACTTCCTCAGATCAAATAGTGGAAGAAAATAGTCACAATATGGTTGTGACTATTTTCTTCTACTATTTGATCTAAGGAAGTGGGTCTGGCCCACGAAAGCTCATCCTCTAATAAACCATCTTGTTAGTCTTTAAAGTGCTACATAGTCCTGTATTTTGTTTCATCCTTTGATAACATTTCATTTGCTCAGGCTTTGTATGAAAGCTACATGGTTATTACAGTCTTTGGCATGTTGCAGTGGCTATAGCCGCTTATGACCCATCTCCAAGGGCCCTGAATAATAGATACACAGGCAACATCTCACTATCCAGCCCCAATTTGTGGTGCAATGCTTGTTTCTTTACATTGATCAATGGTTGGTATCCACAATTGTGGATCGTTGACCCAGCGTGTGAGATGCTTTTCATATCAGGGTTCACCTTTCTGTTGTGTTTGACTAGTGTATGAACTTTGCTTGTAAGCTGTTTGGGGGCAAGGACTGTTGTTTTGCCCTGTGTTTGTATAGAGCTTAACAAAGCAGGGCCTGACTGGGGACTCTAGATGCTATAATAATACAAATAACATGAGAAAACAGATACAACAGACTGGTAGAAGGGGAAGCACAAGGTGGTAATGAGGCAGTACTGGTCAGCCTGTTTAAGCAGTCATTTCAGCACACCAGCTGACTAACGGTGAGTTTTTGTATGCCAAACAGAGGAGAGTGTGGGGTTTAAAGAGGAACAATGAAGTAGCCTTGCAACTGTTTCTAGAGAGCTCCTGTCATGTTATCAGGGCAGCATGACACAGAGCAACAAGGTAAAAATAATTGAAAATTACTGGCTCTCTTTGAGTGCAGAAGGCCGCTTGGGACATTCTTCCCCTGCTCCATCTGGTTGGGATGGGGGAGGCGCGAGGATTTAAAGTCGCAGTAACTTTTTTTTTTTTGGTGCGGTGTGTGTTTGTTTTGCTCAACAACTTTGGTTTTCCCCCGTTTTTATTTTGTTGTTTTTTTTTTCTTGACCAATTTTTTTTCCCACCATGTCTGGTATTTTTTGTGAAACTATCTGGCAACCCTAAAAAGAGTATTTATATAACTGAGAAGCAGTAGGGCTTCAGGAGGGATATATGTTGGTGTGAGATTAGTCTTAAGGGGGTGAGCTCAATTGAAAGCAAAGCCTAGGGGGCTTCAGATTATGGCCTCTTCAGTTTGGCAGACTTTACCAGTATTAATGTGATTTTTTTTTTTAAACAGTAGAATATGCATATGTAGATTTTTTTTTTTTTCAACGTAAAATGTATAAATTAGGTCTTGGATTCAGATCTTGACTCATTACGAGGCAGAATTTGAAAAATAAACAGCAAGGTTGTGATGTGAAGCTGAGCCAATAGCTAAATAGCCTAGTCATGTCTCCCTATTGAAAATTGCTCCACCCTCTCTAGGTGTTGTCTTGGCATGTGACTTGTTTTATGTGTAGACAAAGCATTAAAAATACTTTGCTTGTCACCAGTTAAAAGCTCTTTGGAGAGTAAATGACATACAATAGGCACCAACAGCAAAGTAAGTCATGTAAGTAATTTTGACTGGTAGAAGCCTGTAAACAACTAGGCAGTAGTGATTGTTTAGATGGTACTTTCTTTTTTGCACAGAAGGGACAGTCTCACCTGCTGTTGTGGTGTTTTGCTGTGGGAAAAGTTATGGAAGGCTACAAAAAAAGTCTATGTACATGGTGCTATTTAAGAGACTAACTTTGGTTTGTAACACCTAAGTTTTCAGTAAGTAAAACCTGTGATTGTTTTTGATTCCAAGTATTTGATGTTTAAAGTTATTCTTACCTTATTCTTACAGAATGTTTAAATAGTGTTACATTTAAAAAGCACTTAGTTTTACTTAACCATGTGTTTTGAACATGCTCACGTAATTTGATTGTTTTGTAGCTTGGTAGTGTTTAATGCTTAGAATACTAGAAGGAAATAGATTGCACGCTGACCAAGAACCTGGTCACTGGCCTTTGTAGACTAGTGCTTGACTGAAACTAACAACTTGCTGCAGAATCGCTGATGGAGTCATTGTGTATTATTAAATGCAATCTCACTTTTAATGTTGCACTCTTTAATAGTCTGTCTAGCTGCAGCGTACCTAATTTCATGTTGGTGGGGGGGACACAAAGAGAGAGAGGGAGTGTGTGTATAGACTGTTTAGTAATCAAAAGAAGTCAAATGATTTCTGGTTTCTATGGTAATGAGTTTAAGAAATACTTGCCTGTAGCAAAACAAACCTTGAATTTCAAAATGCTGACAAACCGGATGGAGTTCTGAGTAGAGCAATGAGGATGGTTTAGGGGGCTGCAGGGGTTGATGTAGGAGAGAAGATTATAATAATCTTATTATAATTTTACAAGGAGACAACTAAGGAGGAACACTGTCCTCTATTACTTAAAATGTGTTAAGAACAAGGATAGGGAAGAATTATTTAGGATGGTGCAAGGAGGTATAAACAGGAAAAATGGGATGAAAATTTGATCAGAATATATTTTTTTAAAGCCCCAAATCTTTCTGGTGGCTAGATGTGCTGGAAAAGGAATTGTGGATGTCCCACTGCTTTGAATAATTAAAATTGGTCTGGAACAGCACTTGCAAATATGTTGTATAGAACAATTCTCCATGTATAAAATTGAAGTGGCCAATAGATTATTTTTCCCTCATTTATTCCATCCCCTAATGGAATAAGACTTGAGATTGGTGTTGTGTTTTATAAACAAACAAGCTCATTACAGTTGGTTTGAAATAAATTATTGTAAAGTCTCTAAAATACCACAAGCTCAACTCGGTACATTGTGTTAAGTGATGATACATGCTTAGCATCATTGTAGCTTAAAGCATAAGTTAAATATGTTTTTGAGATCTGATTCTGAAAACCTTACACACTCCGAGTAATAACTCCATTGACTTCAATGGGAATAGTAACAGGATTAACTGCTATCAAGCAAAGTTAAGGAGTGGAGCAGGCAAAACCCATGGAAATCAAAAGGGAATTTTTCCATAGAATTCAGAGGTTTTGGATGATGCCCTATATGAGGGAGGGATCCTGATGTTAATGTTCCCTATTGCAAAACCACAAATACTGTTCTTGACTGTTCTTCCCTGCCTGCAAGCGCATTACAAACACATGACACAGCACATTGGGAAGACAGACTTGGATACACTGAACATGTTGACAAGCCAGTTTATACCTGCTGCTGAAGCACAATAAAATAATTTAGTTCAGTCAGTGAAAGCCTTAAGAACCAAAAGGAAATAACTGTAAAAAATAACTTTGAGACAGGATTGACTACAAAATAATGAAAAGAATAAGTAAAACAAAGCCCTCCAGAAGGAGGGCTGAAGAGTTAAGAGCAACCACAAGCAAGGCAAACTTATTTTCAGTGCCCTTTTGGGCAGGGGAATAGGCATGTTAATCTTTAAACAAAGGTATGCAAGTGGGAGAAGGAACCATATCTTACTGTGATATAGGGTTCATTTCCTTACTGAATTGGGAGCATTTTTTTTACCTGTATGGAAACAAATCAGTCTTGTTTCACTCATGCGAGTAACCCCATTTAAATCAGTTGCACTTCTCTTTTGCTTTGATTATTTAAATGCCCAACCTTTGCTCTCTGCACCCCTGGATACACACACAAAAATTACAATTCTAAAAAGACACAATCCTTTCTCATGGCCAATAAATAACATTAATGCAGTAGCTGAAAAATGACTGAAGAACCTTACAAGGACTCCCACCAGAGTCCTGGCAATCCTTCACAACCTGGAGAAATTGTTAGGCCTTGCAGTCTGTACTGAAAGTTGAAAAATTAGGATTATTTTAGACTGGTGAGAGCAAATTCCCCAGGACTTTACAGAGAACAGTCTGCCAGCTTCCCCTCTTTCTTATACAGGTGGGATGCCCCAGTCATCTCCACTATGGCAATATGGGACAATAAAAGAGGCAGTCTTTCCAATAATAGGTCTCAGGCCATTTTGAACGTTATAGGTCATAGTACCAAAACCTTCGGTTCTTCACAGTACTTAAGTTCTTGTCATTTGGGAAATGAACTAAGATTGCAAAATTACCTTTTCTATTAGAATGACAGACCTGGAGTTACCTGAAAGTATGCTATTACCACAGTGTAAATGCCACTAATCTGAGGTCTCTTCTTGGCTGTTCACTTGGAACATTCACAAGCTGCAGATTTGAGCAACCTGACAGGTGGAAAAAAATGGTATCCTAAGATATATTTGAAAAACAGCATGTGACAGTCTCTGTGGACTCTTCATAAAAAGTATTTTCAGAAGCTTCTAGCTGGGTATTAAAAGGAATTAAGCTGGCTATTTATTCCCTTGTAAAATTTTATTGCGTTCATCTTCTCAAAGCAGCAATTTAAATTCTTTTCACAGATATGACAGCTTTGCTTTGGGCGCCCAGACTTCCAAAGTTGAGGATATGGCACACGTAAGTAGCTTGGCAACTTTATTGTCAAGAATGTTTAAAGCAAAGGAACATTCTGAATGTTAGTTCACTGTCTTTTTAGAGTAGACATTATGCCCATCTAGCTACTTATTTAAGCATGAATTGTGCAATTCTGTATTTAAACACTAGGGAAAAATAATAAGTAGTGGGAGCCTGTTGAGTTCAGTGATGTTATACCAGGGATGAATTTGTCCCTGTCGCTTCAACAGAGTCTGAAGTCTGGCTTCTGCAGTGTGATTTTGAGTCTCTTTACCAAGGAGATGATTTAATAAATTATTGCTACTGGGCAAACACAAGAGAGATTTTGGCAGTAGTAGCCAAAGTATAAATAAATGTAAACTTACTTCGAACCAATACTTGCAGCTTGAATTTATTTAGTTTAGTTTTATTTGCATCTGAACAGCTTGAGCACACTTCTAAATTACTTCTAGCTTTGATGCAAGTTCAAATTCAGATGCAGATGATTCAGATTTCAGTAGGTGCAGATTCTGCCACCTTCACTGGTTCTACTGATGTCCGTGTGACTGTCTGGTGATGGACTTCTCAATGGGTGAAATTCATCTCCATGCAGGCAGGTCTGCAAGAAACACATGAACCACTTAAATCCTATTTTGAGACCTTAAGTGGGATTTAAGCAATGCATACGCCTTGTGCAGGTCCTATGCATAGAGGTGAATTTCTCTCCATGGGAGTAAGATTTAGTCCAACAGTAGTTTGTCTGATTCTGCAACCCCTCAATGCACAGTGATACCGAGACACTGAGAGTGTCATGTGCTGAGCAATTGCGGGGATGAGGCTGTTTGTCACGATGAACTACTTTAGCTAAATAGAACCTGGGCAGTAGGAAAGCTACTTTGTGTTCTAGCTTCAGGTGATTTGTTGTGGCTGGATGCTCCAGATAGGTGGCAGAGACATTTCAAGTATGAGGCACCAAATACCTCACTGGTGTAACTTCACTGTACTACGTGAAGATCAGCAGAATTATACCTGGGATAAAATTCGCTCAGAGTCTCAGATATTTTGGTGACAGGTCACGTACTACAGTTAATAGCTGTACATTTCCATATTTGAATGCCTTCAGAACTTTTGGGTAAATATCATCAGGCTCTGATGCCTTTAATATTGTTGATCAACTTGTTCTAAAATCTCTTTTAATGTCTCATTAATTTGTGACATTACTTCAGATTTGTTACCCAAAAAAGAATAGTTCTGATATGGGCATTTTCCACATCTTCGCAATGTAGATGAATATAAATAATTCCTTTAGCTTTCTACACTGTCTTATATTCCTCAATCTCTTCTTTAACACCTTTATAATCTAGTGGCGCCATTGTCTCGTTGGGCAGTTATCTTGTGTAATTAAAACTTATTTTACAGTTAACATATAATATGTCTGGTATTTTCTCAATTTAAGTTGTATTATTACTAGATGTATCAGTTTGTAGTTTTGAACTGCCTGGCTGGTAAATGTGCTCAGGCTGCATGAGTGTGTCTACCAGCCAGATAGTTCACAACTACTCGAGGGGTGTGTGTGTGGGAGGGGGAACAGTAGAATCCCTGTGCCGGACTAACTCGTGCTTTGTGGGTGGGGGGGAAGGGGGAACTGGATCCGGTCAGTCCCACTCCCTGCAGGCCGATTCATTCCTCCCCCCTGCTCCCCTTGCTGTGCCTCTGGCCAGCCTCACTTCCCCCACCCCCTCCTGGGCAGCCAGTTCTCCCCTGCTTCTTCTCCCAATCTCCCTTGGCCAGCCCTGCTGCATCCTTGCTCCATCATCTCTCCTGGTGCCTGCTGCCCCCCAACTCCTCACCCTCCTCTGCTGTCCTGACTCCCCCGGGCCAGCTCCCTGCCCCCACCCTCACCCCCCCCAGCAACCCTGCTTCCACCAGCCCCCCAATCTCCCCAGCCTGCCCTGATTCCCCCATCCAGTTCTGCTTCCGATGGCCAGCTCTCCCCTCCTCCTCACCTGCACCTTCCCTTAGCCCTGCACCCTCCTGGTGCCTCCCTTTGCCCTCTTTTTCCCTAATTTCCACCCCCTCACCAGTCTCTACCCAATTGCCCTCCTGCCCCTCTGTGCCCTCACACACGATTTGCTCTGTCCTGATCTTCCTCATGCCCACCCCTTCTTTCAAGCCTTCTCCCACTGACACCTCCCCTCCTGCCCTTTCCCTCATGGTCTGCACTTGGCCCCCTGGCATTTGTCTCTCTCTCCTGCACCCTGTTCCTTGGTGCCTTCCCCTCCCCCGCCCAAGCCTCTTCTCCTTCCACCCCCCCTCCGCCTCTCCTCTCCCTCTCCCCGCAGAAGCAGGAAAGCCGAGGTCTGCTGGAGTTCCTTGGTTGGCTTTAAATGAGCCTATTCTGGTTGGAGAAGCAGATGTTAAATGCCTTGCAGCCAAACCCGCAGCCAGCCAGGCCCCGCAACGTGCCTCCCGCGGGTTTCAAAACCCCGGGCTGTGACATCACGTCATGCCCGGGCGTCCTCCCCGCCCACATGCAATGCTGTGCATGGGCGGCAGGCGGCGAGGAGGAGCCGCGCGTGGCAGGGAGGTCTGGGGCCCAGGGGGAAGGATGCGTGGGGGGACCAGCGTGAGGATCCGGGGCCCACTCCAGGAAGAGCTGGGGAGAGACCCAGCTCCACATAGTGCTGGAGCAGGGCCCCCGGCTCTGAACTTGCCGGCACTTCCGGGTGCAGGGGCATGGGGCCCGATTCGACTGAATGGGTCGAATCGGCCTAAGGGCCGGCAGCCACCAGGCACACTGAGGCCCGGCATTTTTTTTTTTCCACGCACGTACCATAGTTTGGGAAACGCTGGTTTAAACCATTTCTCTGCTCTGCATTACTAACATGCACTCTGTTATATGGTATAACCACAGAGGAGATAACTAAGGGCTTGTCTACACTTACAGTGCTGCATCACTGCACCTGTGCTTCTGGAGCACTTATTGAAGACACTGCCTACATGAACAGAAAAGATTTTTCCCATTAGCATAGGTATTGCATCTCTCAGCAAGGCTGTAGCTCCCATTGACATTGTGCTGTCTATGCAGACTTAACCCTGTTGTAAGTACATTGCCCAGGGGTGTGGATAGGTTATCCCCTTGAGTGATGCAGCCAAACCAACACAGGGTGGTAGTGTTGACCAAGTCTAAGAGGGAACACAGGGTATTATATATATGAAAAGTGGTATCAAGAAGATAAGTTGGGTACTGCTACTCTTCCATCCCACTCTCACACTTCCAGAACAAGGGGCTAGTCCATGGAATCTAATGGCAGGATTTAAAATTGATAAAAGGAGATGCAATGCCCAGCTAGCCTGAGGAGCTCATTGTCATAGTACAGGTTGAATCTCTAAAATCCAGGACGCTGTGATCCAGCAACATCCGTGCTCCTGATATTGCTGGACCAGATAGTCCACAGATATTGCTGGACCAGAGAGTCCTAGCTGGCCAGAGTCAAGAGTGGAGCCCTGGCCAGGCTGGCAGCAGGGAACACCAGCCAGGGTGGTTGCAGCAGGGAGCCTTGACTTCTCCTGGTCTGGCAAACTCTGGTTCAGGTCCACTCAGGTCCCAAGGTGCTGGACCAGGCACATGCAACCTGTATATCATTGAAACAAAGATCTGACTAGATATAAAGCATCCAGAGTTACAGTAGAAAATATTTTTAAAAAATGAATAGGACCAGATGCTTAGCTAGTGTAAACTGACCGAAATCCATTTAAATCAATGCAGCTGTATTAATTTATGCCAGCAGAGAATCTGGCTCAAGAATTATGAGAACCTGCATATATCAAAGCATAAACCAGTCTCTTAATTGCTGGAGAGGTAGTCTGTTGACTGCCTAATGTAAGGTTTCTTGCAACTTCTAATGATGCACCATTTGCTGGCCTTTGTCTGATCCAGTCTGCAATTGCTGAATTTGTATGATATTTTGGTCCCATATTACACAGAAATAAAGGGTTCATTCAATCGTTCCATGTACATTTGCCAGTTCTGCACCAGTCTGATCAATCCTGAGACCACTCAGAGCAGGAAGGATCATGAAGGGACCTCATCCGCATGCTATGGTGGGACACACTGAACTGCTGAGTAGGACAGTAGCTTATACAGTCAGCATTTCTGGTCCTCCCTTTACAGGCCTTCCTAAAGGGCAGCCCCCTTCCTATGCTGTGACCTAAAGACTTCTTGATGCTAACTAGCAGAGAGAATTGAGTTATGTAGTAGGAATGTAAAATCTTGTTTTAACATGTTAACCGGTTAAACTGTATGTTTAATCAGTTAATCAGCCCACCACATTGCACCGTGGGTGGGAGGCTGCTTTGGCCAGGTGCCAGTTAACTGGTTACCCTGGTAAGAGTGCCAGTAAGGCAATGCTTACTGTGTAACCGGTTACCCCTTTACATCCTTAGTACATAGGGGTATGGTGATTTCCCCTAGGTTTACCAAAAGAATGTCACGTAATATCTCTAATGAAAGCCTGTGTAACACAGATGGTAATAATCATTGAGGGGTGTATGTGGGTGTCTGTGAGTTGAGAAAATGTGTTCTCTAAACCTTCTAGTTAAAGACATGTTTCTCAAAGGTAGCATGCCTTGAGGTAAATTTCTCAGACAAGAGGAGGGAATTACTTTTCTCCTTAGTTAACCATTGTGTGTTGTGTATCTTGCAATGAAAATCTGTTAGCATATTGAATCTCATGCCAGAGACTTTGGAAGGAAATTAGCTGGAAGAAGTAAACAGTGAGAGGGGAGGAGGAACCCTATTTTCAGAAGAAGATCAAGAGTCTGGGATTTTATAATCGGTGGTGCAGAAAGATGCTCTGGCATCCTTTAAGCTAGGAAGATATGCTAAGAACAAGCCACTTCGGTTGACAAATGTTGGGGGAAGGTTTTAGTGTGAGCAATCCTGTAGAGGAAGGGAATGTCATGTGTGTTAAGTATAGGTTGTAGCAAGCATGATATGATTTTGTTTTATGTTGATCTGTTCGGGCTGTCACATGATTAAAAAAATGTTTCAGGGGGTAGCTGTATTAGTCTGTAACTGGAAAAATTAAACTAATAGTTTTGCAGCATCTTAGAGACTAACAAAAATGTAGATGGTATTGTGAGCTTTTGTGGGCACAACCCAGTTCTTTAGATGAATGAAGTTTAAGGGGTCCAGTTTTCAAATAAATAGCACAGAGATGGGACGAGAGCATCATCAGGGATGGTGTTCCTGACAGCCAGGAATCCATCTTCATATGGAATGTTGGTGTAAAGAACTTCTATTTCCAGGGTAGCTAGGATGGTGTTTTCAGGAAGATTACTTATGTTCTGTAGTTTTCTCAGGAAGTCGGTGGTGTCTCAAAAATAGCTAGGTATGCTGGCAGCATAGGGTCTGAGGAGACAGTTAATATAACTCTGTGATTAATTGCACTGTTTAAAGTAAATGGTATTCTATTTTCATTTAAATATTTTGGACGTTTTCTACATTTTCAAATATATTGATTGCCTTGTAATCGGAAAAACAAAGTGTTCAGCACTTTACATTTATTACATATATTTTCACTGTAAAGAACAAAAATGTATTTTTATTTCACCTCATACAAGTACAGTAGTGCAATCTCTTTATCATGAAAGTTGAACTTGTAAATATTGAATTATGTTCAAAAAAAGCCTGAATTGAAAAATAAAACAATGTAAAGCTTTAACTCTTATGGGTCCACTCAGTCCTACTTCTTGCTCAGCCAATGACTCAAATAAGTTTGGTTACAATTTGCAGGAGAGGATGCTGCCTGCTTCTTGTTTGTAATGTCATCTCAAAGTGAAAACAGACTTTCACATGGCACGGTTGTAGCTGGCGTTGCAAGATATTTCCATGCCAGATGGATTAAAATGTCCATGTTGATGATGGGTTCTGCTCGAAAAACAATCAGAAGCAGAACAACACATGCTCATTTTCATCATCTGAGTCAGATATCATCAGCAGAAGGACAGTTTTTCTTTTTTAGTGGTTCAGGATCGACAATTTCTGCATCAAAGGTTGCTCTCAATTTCTGAAAGCATGTTTTACATCTTGTCCTCTTAGATTTTGGATGGCACTTCAGATTCTTAAAGCTCGGTGGAGTGCTGTAGCTATCTTTAGAAAGCTCACATTTTTTCGTGTTTTGTCAAATCTGCTGTGAACGCATTCTTAAAATGAGCATGTGTTGGGCAATCATCTGAGACTCCTATAATAACATTAAATATACAGGCAGTCCCCGACTTACGCAGATCCAACTTACGTCAGATCCGCAGTTACGAACGTGGCTTTTCTCGCCCCGGAGGACACGGACTGCGGGACCTGGCGGTCCCGCCGCCCATGTACTCCGGGGCGAGAAAAGCTGCTCCGCGTCTCCCTGGTCTGCAGACCAGGAAGATGCGGAGCAAAGCCGTGGAGGGGCTCCGGCAGCGGGGCAGCCCAGGCGCGCCTGGGCTGGCTTGCTGCCC